ATGTTAGACGTATATATATGCCGCTGGCCCAGGTCATCTCTAGTATAAATTCGGCCACTGTTCGCTTCTGTTAATACCACACTGAAGGCAATGAACTGAACTTACCGACTGAGACTTTTCCTATTTTAGTTCCAATTTCCTTTTCTGCTAGATTATTGTATATGAAGCCAAGGAGAGCCAATGCAAAAGATGCACAGTGCAGTAACTTGAGACATAAAAAGAAGAAATATGTCAGAAATATGTCAGCTTGAAATTCCATGTCCCTGGCAATATACAAAGCGAACTTCTATTAAATGAATTTTTTGTTTTTGATGATGTCTGTCAGAAATGTCATTTCTTTTTGTCTCTTTTATATATGGATTGCTTATTTAATTGGGTGGGTAGACTTACACATCAGCGAACCACATGAGCGTGTTTGGAAAAGATCCTGAAACGTCGTTTGTCATTTGCGATCTCCTATACTTACCAGGATAGAAAATGTAAATTCGTGAGTCGAGTTCTCTGGCATCTCCACGTTAATAATTGAAATAAAGTCGTTGGTTAAAGCTCCAAAAAGAAACGAAGCAATGGCTAGTGATAACGAAGTATAGAGTTCTTTTCGGTGAAGTTTAATTCCTCGGAAGTTAAACTGGAAAACAAAAATGTGATCCTGCTATTAGTAACTGAAAATGAAAGTTTGTTAGGTAACTTTCCCTACTTACCATCAGGGCATATCTTTGCCTCCAACATTTAATAAAAGTCGTGGAATTATTTATAGGTTTACATTCCAGTGAGATCAAATATACTAAACAAAAAGAACTTTATATTTTAGCGCGCAATACCCAATGACTCATGTGACGTCAAATGAACGAGTCATCAATGTTGTTCGTCACTTCACGCGCATTGGATTAAAACGTTCGAAATTTGTTTTAACGTCGGACAACTAAATAAAATAGAGTTTCGTTTCCTTTCCATTTTTATTCAGTAAAGTAGCATTTTTCTTTTTTACGCAATTCAGTATAATTAGATATTAATGTAAAATGTTGTTAAGACGAAAAACGACCTATGATCCTTAATGAATTCAGTGAATTACATGGTCGCATCTCATGTTAAACCTGTTTCTTTTATTTTATGGTGGAAAACTAATGGTTATGATAGCAGCAGTTGCAAATTTTCCTGAAATTTGTCCCCTCAAAAAAAAAGAACATACATTTGCGTAAACAGCTATTTCGAGAAAGTGCACGCGACAAATCGTGGGTGGTTTTGAGTTCACTGTTCTTCTAAGAAATTTGAGAGAATTGCACGAGAGGCCATGGACGTATGTTCGTGAGTGCTATTAATATCTTAAAAGGATCCTAAAAGAAAGCAACAAAAGTAGGTTAAACTGTAGGTTAGACAGCTACAGTGTCAGAACATATCCCATAGATCTATCCCATGACCTTTCGGTATTGTCGCGTGCACTTTTTTTCGGCAACTTTTCTCGATAACTTTTCTCCATGGATAATAGAAAGTCTTTCTATTATCCATGGTATAACTGAGACGAAGAGAACGTTTTTTCGTGCCTTTGCGTGCCGTTGGGAGAAGAGAAAACAACAACGAATGACGCGCCTCTCCGCGCCTTCTAGCTTCTCTTTAGCGCGCGAGGTGTTGACCAGCGGTAGCCTGATGAATAGCGATACTATTTCATTTAGTAGTAACGAAAATAAAATGGCCGCGATCACGGCGTTTTGGAACCGCAGAGGAGTTGTAGGCTCTCAACCGACAGATCCGCAGTTGAACTCTTCCAGAGAAAGCGCCGATACAGGTAAACTACTACCTTCATGCTATGGACGTCTTATATTATGCATTCGATTTTGGTTATCAGGAATATGTTTGAATACACAAGCTTACATTTTGCGTTCTTTTTATAACATTAATTTAGTAACATTGTTGCTGATAACACTTACCTCAACGTTGATTATTCCGTATATCAAAGAAAGCGAATCTATTAATGATTGTTTAATTATACACTATTTAAAGAAAATATCGAGAAACACTTCAAACGGAACGCAGTTTGGCCTTGGCTATTGGACATCATGTATTGCGCGCACAACAACCCCCACAGATTAGTCAGCTATCTGCTGGCAGATAACTAGCTAATATATATATGTAGGTCGTGCTGATTTTTAAAATCAACTGTAGGCATTTGGCCAATGAGAAAAGAGATATTGAACACTATGTATGATAATTGCTGCTTAATTTTGTTTACAAGAATGAATTTAGGTAAAATTTTTTTGGCCTTCCAACTCTTGGTTAAAATGCAGAAAACCTTGCCCACTAAATATCTGATGAGAAAAACCTGCTCTCACAGTCATCAAGTTGTCTGATTTGCATAGTAATTTCGGACGTTAACTGCAGGAGTTTGGGATCCCGAGTGCACTTGTATACCTTGTTCTATAAGTACGCTAGTTACTTGAAATCGGTTGGAGGAGTGCGGGACTGTGGGAGCACTAGTGTACCTTGTTCTATAAGCACACTAGTTACTTGACATAGACTGCGGGAATGTGGGACTGCTGTAGCGCTAGTTTTATGCCAACTTAATATTCATTTGTAGCAACTGCAGGAGCACTCATTAAACTCTCATACATTCAAGTATTTGGCATAATACAACACAACTGTAGGACTGCAGGAGCAGTTTTTCAAGTATGTGTAAGACATTCAGTGGCATTCTGCATTTACTCTCAACTGTGTTATATGGTTCTGATTTGGATGTAATCTTTCATTCCTTATCGCAGTTAAAAAAAATGGAAAATTTTTGAAGCCATGAAATAAATATTTGTGGTAGTGGGTTTCGAATTTTATACAAGTTAGGCACATGTATCATATGTGTGGGAGGCAGTGATTGATTGTGTGGTCAGAGTGCAAGAAATGCAACTCAGCTGTGTAAGGTTCAAGTCGCAATAGAGATGCCTCCCACCACTCCCTAGCCAAGCCAAGCCTCCCTATCCAAGGTTAAGACGCGCAAGAGCCAAAGGCCCCATTGGCCAGAGCTTATCCCAGTTTCCTTAGCATGAAGCATGCCTAGGAGTATTGCTACTCCCCCCTGGACAGGATGCTAGGCCATTGCAGGGTTCTGTCCCCTCCCCCAGCAGTATGTTCCTGGTACCCATTTACACACCTGGGTAAAGATATACCAAGTGGGTAAAGTTTCTTGTCTAAGAAAGCAACGCAACGGGCAAGGCTTGAATCCTGGACCTCCCGATCCAGAGTTTGAGTTGTAAACCGCTTAGCCTCACATGCCCCCACTGATAATGATAATAGTCTGGTTTGTTTTTAAAGTGGAGAAAGGCTAATGATTTATGAGCTTTTTTAGAGTTTAGAAAATACAGCTAAAGCCCTTGATTATTTATGATTTTCCATTATCTTTGCAGAAATCATTATTAATACCATAAGCAGGCTTGGAATTGTTCATCGTGAACTAAAATTACCTCAACTGTGGTCAGAAGCAGCTATTATCAAGGCATTAATCTATAAACATGGAAACACACACAAGAAACAAAAGTACTTCCAAGGTCTAAAAAGGGTAAGATAATGCCGTCATTGAAGAAGTTACTTGCTACTGAAAGCAACNCATTCCTTATCGCAGTTAAAAAAAATGGAAAATTTTTGAAGCCATGAAATAAATATTTGTGGTAGTGGGTTTCGAATTTTATACAAGTTAGGCACATGTATCATATGTGTGGGAGGCAGTGATTGATTGTGTGGTCAGAGTGCAAGAAATGCAACTCAGCTGTGTAAGGTTCAAGTCGCAATAGAGATGCCTCCCACCACTCCCTAGCCAAGCCAAGCCTCCCTATCCAAGGTTAAGACGCGCAAGAGCCAAAGGCCCCATTGGCCAGAGCTTATCCCAGTTTCCTTAGCATGAAGCATGCCTAGGAGTATTGCTACTCCCCCCTGGACAGGATGCTAGGCCATTGCAGGGTTCTGTCCCCTCCCCCAGCAGTATGTTCCTGGTACCCATTTACACACCTGGGTAAAGATATACCAAGTGGGTAAAGTTTCTTGTCTAAGAAAGCAACGCAACGGGCAAGGCTTGAATCCTGGACCTCCCGATCCAGAGTTTGAGTTGTAAACCGCTTAGCCTCACATGCCCCCACTGATAATGATAATAGTCTGGTTTGTTTTTAAAGTGGAGAAAGGCTAATGATTTATGAGCTTTTTTAGAGTTTAGAAAATACAGCTAAAGCCCTTGATTATTTATGATTTTCCATTATCTTTGCAGAAATCATTATTAATACCATAAGCAGGCTTGGAATTGTTCATCGTGAACTAAAATTACCTCAACTGTGGTCAGAAGCAGCTATTATCAAGGCATTAATCTATAAACATGGAAACACACACAAGAAACAAAAGTACTTCCAAGGTCTAAAAAGGGTAAGATAATGCCGTCATTGAAGAAGTTACTTGCTACTGAAAGCAACATATTCACACTGGATGCATTACCCACATTGTACCCCAGAAAGAAATTTCACATGGTTGAAAGTTGAAAATTGTTGCTTGCTTTTGAATAAGAAGCCAAGGATGGCCTCCTTTACTGACTGGGCTTGTCACACAATCCTACCCTTGGTTTTCACGGGAGGGTTGTGGTAGAGGATACAATATTGAAGCGACTTTTTTTCCAGGTTATCAAGTGCTTAAACAGACTTGAAGAAATGGCAATTTATGACAAGGTGGCTGATCTGAAAAACACATTTCCCAGGTTGGTGATACAGTATATGAAGAAATAATACAAATTTTGTAACATTTCTTCCTTTAGCCTTAGGAAATAAAATACAGTCTATATAAAAGTTGAACCACTGTGTTCAAATGCTAATCATTGTTAAAGCTGTTTTAAATTTCAATCCATGTTCCTGTTTCTTTAATTTTAAATCATCAGTCCTTAGTAAAAGAGCCATTTTATGAACATCAAATTGTGGACAAAAGACTTAACCTGAATTTGCTTTGTTAGTGCTCAATTCTGAATTCACATTTTACAGTAGCCTTAGGTTACAATTAATATTAACCCTGCCTTGAACAACCCAGCCCTGGTTGAAGAGTGACAAGTTGTCCTTTTATTCTGTTACAGTGCAGTGCAAAAGTATAAACTTAAGTGTCCAATGCACAGACAAAATGCTTGCTTGTGACTATACATTCAAGCAACTCTTGAAATCATGGCATGGTGGGTAAAAAGTGTGTGCTAATAGTCAACTATTGTTGCTTGCAGGTTATCAAAGCGTCGCACTCTTGCCCCTGAGACCTTGTCAAACTCTCCTACATTTGGAATGATCATCAGTACTCTTGGCTGCCTCATTGGAGCTGCCCAACTTTTGTTACAGGTCTTTGTTACATTATACTGTAGGACCAGATTTCCATTTCTACTGTGAAAATTGGAAGTGTTTTAAACAAGAGAAATGAATGAAATAATGAATGTATGAATATTATATATATATATTCTGAACCTTTTTTATTTCTTGTGAATGGACTAGTTGCATGTTGCATTCATTTTTCTATTTACAAAATCAAAGTTCCTTCATTTCCCTTGCTTTGCAAATGACTCAGACCCAACATTTTGACTTTGGATCATGTTCATTAGGCAAACATTGGAGATGATACACATAATGAGAAATGTTAAAGGCAAAGTTCAAGCAATTTTAGATTAAAAAAATACATGTTCCTCAAGTTTTGACCGTACACTACAGTACTGCTCAAAAGTAAGTTGACAGTCGTTCATGTCTTGAGAATTGAGTCTTGAGTTTTGAACTTTCAAGTCAAGAAATAGTAAGTGTACACTTTTATCCTTATCCTTATCCTTGTAGCTTTTATCCTTTTATATCTTTGTGATACATGTAGGTGAAGTCAACCTGTCAGGAAACATTTCAGTATCCTTTCTCTTCTAGCTTCTACTCCATGGTTATCATATTAATTTGTCTTTTCAATGGTGTTGATGTAATGAGGGTGTGAATACCAGAAAGCACTCCTTCAGGAGGGAACCAAGAACAAAAGCCTAAGAGGAATTAACAATTATTATTAACAATAATTATTATTTTTGGGCAAGGTTGAGTAAAATATTGTGATTTTTCAGTGGTGAAGAGATTACTTATTTGCAAAAGCTGAAGGCTGAGGCAAGAAATTGATCCACAAGACACTTACAAATTACAATATTTATATCTTTTACCTTTGAATATTTTACTGTGTTTGTTTTTTAATGGATATTTTCGGGAAGGAAAGTGATCTGCAAGGGCTTTTTACGCAAGAGGCATTGCAAGAAGGAGAAGAGCATCCTTTCATTAATATGCATGAGCAGAATGTTATTGGCAGCCAAACACAGTTGAACGACATTGCGTATGAGCATACCATTATTTCTAGGCAGTTATTTGCAGGCCTCATGGTGGACTCTCGGCCTATGAAAAGGAAGAAAAATTTGCATCGGATGATAAATAATTTTAGAGTTTTTTTTTTTCAAACATGCGTGCTTATCATCACCCTATCTGATTAAATATGATAGATTGCTATTTTGCATTATCGATGTGTATAGCATTGCTACTTGACAGACCATAGCCTTTTCAAGGGTGGCACTTTACAGTCAGCTATTTGGACAGCCTTGGAACTGCTACTAAAATTTTTGTTTTAGAGCAGTGTCCTATGAGGCAATCCACAAAAATCATTATACAATGCAACCAAAAGTTTCAGAATATGTATGGCTTAAGAACTTGTATTACTTGTAGTTCTTAACTGCCTTTAATCAAGTGAGTGTTAGGGGAATATTATGCTCTAAGAATGCACTCAGTCTACACAATGAACATTATTTGTTGTCTTTTCTGAAGGCAGGTCAAAGCTTGGGCTACTCAATAGTACCCTATATGTTTGCCATATGTAAATGAGTTTGTTTTTTCTACCCCATATATGTTGGTATTATCACACTATGAAACACAGCCTTGACTGTCATAAGAAATTCATGTTCACAGTTGGCTTTTGGACATTTTGTGACATTCCACTTGACGTGCTGTTCAAGTTTAAGTAGAATATGGTAAGTGTTACAATATGGCGCGTACTGTATCCACAAGACTGTTTTGCATGTACGATTTACTTTACAGTTCAAACAGATCCTTTTCAGGCTGTACTTTTCAGATAGCAGAAACTTAAGGGATCTGTAATCTCCTGGAAGACTGGGAAAAAACACAAATTTCTCTTTTCTTTTTTTTCCCTTAGCATTCTCTGCTGGCCTTTCCCCTCACCTTCTTAACTTGTCATGAACACAAGGACAGGGACTCCCCGATTTTTTTTGAGGGAAGGGGTGGCTGTAGATACACCAGTTTTTTGAAATTTATTTTTCCTGTGTAGGGTTCTTGTCAGAAGTTTTTTGCTAGTCATCTCAGAATGCTATGAGATTATATTTCCGTGGCTGAACATTGTGGCAGATCCAGAACAGGTTAGTGACTGACAGATACGTCAGCTGAAGCTATTGCTTGTTCAAAAAAATGCCTGGCACTGCCTCTGATTGTAATAAGGTACAGTGAATCTTTTAATTTTTTCAGGTAGCCAAATCTGAAGCCAAGGATCTTCCCAAAAGTATTGAAACATGGCTTGAAACTCGGAATAGCCATCGCTCTAAAGACAACAGGTTTGTTTCTTTTCAATGACTGTTTTCAAATGTAAACAGATTTGCCATTCAGAACATGACAGTAACACGTTGATGATACCACAATGTTGTTGGTTTTTATTGCCTATTGCTTCCCACCAGAGGTCTCTGAGCAGGCAACATTACGAAATTTAGCCTATAATGTCGGGGTAACAATGTACTGTTACCCATGAATGTTGACTACTTGCTCACATTTGCTTTCATAAATTTGTATGTTTAGAAGTTTTTCTTTTTTGGACTAGATAACAAAAATAATTGCTCAATGACTTGTTCTTTGAAAACTAGCCTCTGGTGCTGCATGGAGAAGGACTGCATGACAAAGCCATAAGAAGATCTGGTTGGGAGGCTTCTTGAAACTATTTCTTTTTGTTTCACTTCAATCTCAGTGTTTCCCTAGGGTGGCTACTGTTCGCCTTCAGACAGCCATGGAAAAAAGAAAAAAATCTCAAGTACCCAATAGGATCCGAATTTATGACATCTTAAACACTGAGCAGGTGCTCTATCCACTGAGCTATGAAGACACTCACAGAGCTAGGCAAACTGTTTGCTGATAGGTGAAAATAATGGTAACTTTTAAGTGTAGTAGTGAATGAAGAATATGTTTTTTTTGCACTACCAAGCTTGAAATTTACCCTTTTTTACCAATCAACATCTCCCATGTAAGCTGAAACAAAAATCTTGGTATACAGCGAGGATGATCTTGCCATTCGCCTCAGGCATGCATGAGCTTTTCGGTGGTCTGGTCTAAGTGTGCATCCAAGTCTATAACTCAATAGTGAACTACCTGTAATGTACTTCAATCAGATGGAGGTTAGCACATAGTGCCCTAAGATGCAGTGTTCATTGATAATTCTACTCTTCTTGCAGCAAGTTTTGCACTCCATCTCAAAATATTTTAACACCAGGAACTCTGGACAAACTTTTTGCATCAACTCCGAGACACAATCCTAAAGGTAACATACAAGATTAAAAATAGAATAGTTACTCTCTTTTTTTCTCACACTTAGATAATTTTTAAACTCTGTCAACAACAGCATCGTTACAAGACAACTTTCTCCTTCACTTATTCTGTTGCTTTTACTTCTTTATCTCCATTGTTAAGCACCACCTCAGTTAACCTCCCTCGTTTGGAAGAGATGCACGTCCGCCATCCCCACCACGGTTTCTTTGGCTGAAATTTCATGTAAGCCCCAGGGCGAGAAAATATGGTACGTAGAAATTCTCTTATGACCAACAACTAATTATAAATTATCAACTTTTTGTTCATCAGGATCTTTCCCCAGGGAATTTGCCGCAGAAACTCCACCAGGAATGTCTTATGATCTTGGAGACAAGTCTTTCATTCCTGACGAAATCAGCAGTTCAATGCAGGGTAGAGGGTTTACCGCAGAAACTGGATCAGGAATGGCTTATAACCTTGGAGAGTCGTTTATTCCGGGCGAAATCAGCAGGTCATTGCAGGTTAGTTGCTATAAATCAGTACTGAGATTGTCCGCTGTTTAGTTACTAGAAGCCAAAAGGAGCGTAGGCGGTTAAGTCTAATGGAGTACCATCATTAGATGCCTCTTATAATATTACGTATGTAGAAAAGTATGTAAGAAAGATTAGAGCAAGAACTTTATTCACTCGTCGAAGCAAAATGTTTCCCTGTAAAGGCAATTGCTAATTGGAAACATACTACTTGCAGCTCTGAAATCCAATTTAAAGGGGCAAGTCCTTCATTAATTGATTGAATTTAATCTCTTGCCCAAACGTCTGCTATTCGGTTTTCTAATGTTCCTAATTCACCTACTGACGGTTGTAAAGTAGTAAACGTCTGCTATTCGGTTTTCTAATGTTCCTAATTCACCTACTGACGGTAGTAAAGTTCAACTGCGTGTTTCAGCTGTACGAGTCCAGTTGATAGGCCTAAGCCTGCGAACAAGCTTTCCATTTGGGGAAGTCGCGAGAAGTCATGCGAGAGCGGCACGCGAAAGGAGATGCGAGAGCAAGAAGCGAGGAAAGAAATCTTGCGCCCCTTGCGGCTCGCTTAGCTCGCCAGAAATGGAGAGCTTACTAGTACAGGCTCGTTGCAGGTGATCAGTCACGTGGTACAGAATGCATTGCGACGTGTCTTGCTTTCCATCATGGCGGTATTGTACCACGTGACTGATCACCTTCAGAGGGCCTATTTTTCCCGCCATTATTGACGTGGAATTCTGACAATTCGCATCTCTGCTATAGGATTTTGATGCGCAGGTTGGAGAACAAAATATCACCTTCAAACGAAAATTAGTTGCTGAAAACACCGAGATAGCTACAAAGCTGCACGCGTTAGCTGGAGATCAGAATGTCAACCTCGAACGAAAATTATTTGCTGAAAACACCAAGATAGCTACAAAGCTGCACGAGTTAGCTGGAGATCAGAATGTCAACCTCGAACGAAAATTAGTTGTTGCTGAAAACATCGAGATAGCTACAAACGTTCACGAGTTAGCTGGAGATCAGAATGTCACCCTTGAACAAAAATTAGTTGCTGAAGACACCGAGATAGCTACGAACGTTCACGAGTTAGCTGAAGAACAGGATGTCGCCCTTAAACGAAAATTAGATGCTGAAATCACCCAGATAGCTACAAAGCTACACAAGTCTGCTGAAAATCAGACTGTAATCCTCAAACGAAAATTAGTTGCTGAAAACACCAACATAGCCTCAAAGGTGCAAACGTTAGCTGAAGATTGTTTTGCACGAAAGGATAATGTTGTCGATTTAAACAAGGAAATAACAGAATTACCAGCCACAGAAGAAAAGAGCAGAAAAATAACAAAGAAACATGAGACAGACATAAAGCTTGTATTGCCTAGAAGTGAATCGAAGAGATTTACATTGCTTAATAGGATTCACATTTATAACAGCAAACGCTGGAAGGAGTGTAAAGAAAAAGCTCTCCGAAAAAAAGAGAAGCAAAAATTATGTCGAGGAAGACTACAATCAAACAAGGGTAAACATACCATTACCACACGAGAAGGGAAAGATAAAGCTGAGACTAGTGCAAGATTGTCAACTGCTGAAGACTTTGTTGAAAATCAAACGTCTTCGTTGTTGGGGAATTCAGTCTCTTGTCATGCAAATTCGAAACATCAGAAATCAATGAAGTTTAATTTTTTTATTTAATGAAAATACGATCGACCCGAAATATAGAGGTGGACTCCGCGTAATGATCTACAATCAAGAATGGTATAAAAAAAGACTGTTGTTGGGCAAATTCGCATTTTTTTGCGCGCGCTTTCAACTCTTGCAGTTAACGAAAGAGTTCCTGGAAATGCAGCTTGAAGGTTATGGTAATACCTCTTAGGCCTAGGCCAAACGTCGAACTTTTCATGAGACGATCCAAACTCTCATTTGGGTCGACCAAAATTAAGTTAAGATCGTCTGTTGTGCCAGACGTCGAACTTAGGACGCGTCGAACCAACCAACTGGATCAGATAAGAAGTGAATTTTCTTGCGAAGGAGCGAGGCTAAATATACATTATCATACAAATTTTTAATATATAAGTTTAGTTCGTCGCATCTGAAGATCGACGTTTGTCCTGGAGACGATCTTTAGAAATTCTATCCGTCTGACGCCGACGGATAGAACGTCTTGGGACGATCCAAACTCATTCAGACGAAATTAACTGAGCCAGACGTCGAACTTTTCATGAACTTAACTCACTAAGTTTGGTTCGTCTGATGAAAAGTTCGACGTTTGGCCTAGTCCTTAGTAGTTTATTATAAACTGTGAAATATTGCTACCAAGGAAACCGTAAACAAAAGGGTGGCACTCTCCTCCCACCAATGTGGCCCGGGTTCGAATCCTGGCGTCGACGCCATATGTGGGTTGAGTTTGTTGTTGGTTCTCTCCCTTGCTCCGAGAGGTTTTTCTCCGGGTACTCCGGTTTTCCCCTCTCCTTAAAAACTAACACTTTCAAATTCCAATTCGATCTGGAACGCACGGACACGTTTCAACGAGTTCTTATGAACTCCTTAGTGATCCGTGGGTAAACAAATTACAGTCACAAAAAAATATTACCAAAAACGCCGCCAAGCATCGTGGATTAACCAGAAAAAAAGCGATGATACTTGTGATAACTTTATTTCGAATTTGCGCCTAAACAACAACTAAAACTTTTCGTCTAACTTCCTTAATTTTAGTTTTTTAAAGCCCCGTGACAACAGACGCAACATTGTTGGATGTCACATGTTGCGTCCATTTGCACACCCTGTTGCATGTTGTTGCGTGTTGTTGTTGCAACATTGTTGGGCCAAGATGTTCATGTTGTGTCCGGTTGCACGTAAACATTGGCGAAAATCTGACAGCTCTAAATGTGGAGCGACAACAGGTACTCCACACGTTCGAAGTCCCTCCTCACGTGCACCCCTTGTGCCTCCAAGGAGCTTTCTCGCAGGCTACCTTCGTTTCTAACTTTGTTCCCTTTAGACATGAATATATTAGCTGGCCCAGTGACGAATGCAGGTACGAAAGTTCCATAAACAATGTTCAGAAACCCCATCAAAATGTAATGATCGAGTGGGAAATAATATTGCAGGATAAACTCAATATTTAAAAATAAATAAAGCATGAGCAAATAGTAAGCTGTAAAGACTGAGAAACATTGACAGAATTCCTCCAAGGGCAAAGAAGTCTGGGTCTCTAGAGTATTCTCTTTCGGCTCAGTCCATTTTATCCTGGTCCCAGAAAGCAAAAACAATAAACCCAGGCCGACAAAATTGAGGATCATGATATAAAGTTTAGTCGCCACTGAAGCATAACTTACTAAGGCTTCAATGAACCTTTGCAGAGGCCAAAGGATCGCAACGTTTGTAATTGTCATTCCCAATGTCG